TAACGTCAATCTCTACTTTTGTTTCACTATGATCAACTGAATACTAGTGTTTCCAGGATAGAAAACTCTTTTCCCTCTCATTTTCAGATTCAGAGATCTGTTATATCAAATGGTGAAGTTTCAGCTATAAATGTTGCAAGACATCCAGCCAAGACTTCCCAACAGGCCTGGGGAAATTGTATTTAAAGCACACCAATCCTGACTGGTACTCCACTTCTAAGGCAGGCCTGGAGCTGTCTGGAGAGATTTGGGAAGTCCTTCATATGCCAAGCATACCACAGTCACAACACTCTCTAGAATGGGTGGGGAGATGCAGCATGCTGACTTTTTTATTCTGGTTTTTATTTCTACTCTTGAGATATCTGGTGAAATAAAGATACCCTAGGTTTCTTCAAAAGAATAACGAATCTCAAATCAAAGTTTCCCAGAAGTTGAATGCAGATTCACTTTTGAGATAAGAAAAAGCATTTGTAGTGAATTTAGTATTCACTGCGAAAATCTTTAACTACATCTTATTAACTTGGCATGTAATTCATTAATACATTTTTGCAATGCCTTATATCTAAGATATAACAGATAAAAAAATCTAGTCTTGCCCCAAGTTATGAACACTGAAAGAGATGTTTCCAGGTACTGATAAAATGCATCAGAGCAGAATACAAATGCAAAAAGCTGAACGTGACTAACAGGAATGTGTTTGTGTTAATCCATAAAAGTTTCAATCAACAGCTTCTACTCTAGGCCTGATTCTGTCACTCCTATTCATACACATACATATGGTAACTGGCTCTAGTAAGAGGAAACTTTCACATCAAAAAACATATTGCAGCATTAAATTCCTTTTCATGAACGCCAATCAAGCTATTTTTCAAATCTTAGGAACACCTATTTTTAAAATTTATTAAGAAAGAATATCTGTTTAGCTGTGTGAACTTGCTCAGCATAAGGAATTTCAGCTGCAGACAAACATTGTAAAGTTTGGAATTTTACTGGAACACATTCTGAATTAGTTGATCCTACAAAAATCAGTATTTCATTTTTGGGGTCTTTTTCTTAGGCAGACATTTGTCAGAATGCAGAATGGGAAAAAGAACATTTTATACATTACCTGTTGAAGTAATCAGCAGAGGGCTTTTGACAGCAGTGTTTCAAGAGAAGTACAAAAATGAATGGAGTGGAAATAAATAATACTTTTTCCTAACAATCAGCGTTTATTTGTTAGTAGTTGACTTTCCATTGCAAACCCTTAGAAAGGAGTTTGCAGATATATAGTGGCAAAATGCATAAGTTTCTTGCCAGAGATCAGTAGGTGAGAGTTTAAGACTTGTCCCAAGAGTAGCTAGTACTTCTGTTGACAAGCTGAAGTTAGGATGAACTTGTAGCCACACTGCCTAGCGTGCCAATGACTACAAAATTGCTATACCTTAATCAGACTGGAGCAAAGGAATGTGTACAAACACACATATATATATTAAATATGAACTAATGAAACAATAAGTTCCCTAAAAGCCTAAGTTATTTTCCTATCACGTACATCTGTGAAATGAACTGACTGCAGCTGTATGGATCCTGCATATTCAGGGCTTTTGAATCTGGAGATATCTGCTTTGTGACTTACTTCTTCAGTTAGGCACTCAGGAAAGCAGACTTTGGGCAGCAAGTCCATCCCTGGGCTACTAAAAGCAGGCCAAAATACAACAAAAGACAGTCATCATCCTTCCAAGATTCTGGGAAGCTAGTGATGCATCAGAATTTTTCAATCAGCAACATTTGTTGGGACTGTTCTCAAGGGAAAACTTAAGCTGGCTCTTGTCAGTCTTCTGAAACTTTTCAGAAAAGCTGTCTGAGAAATGCTCTGGTGACTGCAGAAGCAGTTTTCTGTTTCTTAGCAACAGCGCCCCGTAATGAAGAAAATTACTTTTGTCAAAGGACTCTCATCAACCTGAAATATTGTGGATCTGGTAAATATTTTCTCCAGATCCCTTCTGTTTCCAAAAATGATATTTATATATTCTCTGAGAACTTTCTGCAGATAATTAGTATACAAACAAACTCCTGAAGACAACAATGGGGAAATATCTTGAGAGGAACAAAACACAAGTCCCTTTTTACATGTTTTTAGTGACACTAAAGTTACAGAAGAGCCACACGCTCTTCATTTTGGATCATGCTGCCTTGACAGTTCTCACTCCTCTTTGCTCAGTGCATGCATAATATCAAAGAACATATTTAACAAACAGAAGAGATTTAGTTATTAGCTGACAGTTCTACTAATAAAAAGTATGCACTAGTTCTTATTATTTTAATCACAAAATTTACATTGTAAGGGGAAAAATGCACACATATTTCTCGAGCGTATATTTACAAATTTATATTGTTATAACTGGTCTGAAACATCTTTAAAAATGACTGACATCTAGTTATTTATATCTGGATGCTCCTCATAAATTTTTAAAATGCTGTCAGAGGGCCTCAAGGATTTAGAAAGTCAAGTCTGATTTTCAGGAATTGAAAACCTAGACCTCCTTTCCATAAGACAAGATATGCACTGCCATATCTGTGTTGCAAATAATTGTTGGAAGATTTTGAGATTCCAAAGTGACATACTTCTGTTCAGCTATCATTCACTGGCCTTGAAAATAGCCTCTTTAAACTCCTGCATCTGAGCACATTTGCACAGTTCCCCACCAAAAAAAATTTTTCATTCTTTTTCTTGTAGAACAGTAACCACAAGGCATTAATTTAAAAGAACTCAAGGTGACTCCCATATCTTCTCTTTTTGCATTGTTTTCCCACTACCAAAAACTAGCTTTACACCTGGCTGCTATTATCTGAAGGTAGTCAAAGAATGTGGTAAGTATTATCCACATGTAATTTATTAAAAGCTGAGTCAAAGAACAGGTGTTGCTATTGTAAAGATTAATTTTGCAGCTCTTCTGCTAAGACTCATAAATTATGAACTCCTGGGCCCCTCAACACTAAATCACAAGCACAACATCTATACAGATTTATTAACTTGAGGGTGAAAAATGATGCAGAATTTTGCCAGCTGCTCAGACTACAAGCACTGGCATCAGCAAGTATGCCAAACCCTTCCCTGATTCCTCACTTTACAACTGGGAATTTGCAGCTTCTCTTTGCCAGCAATGATAGTTCTGCATCATTGTTTTCCCATGACCTAGCATATCGTCTCTCTTGGGCATTATAACATTGTTATTTTAATAACATTGATTACCATTAGATATCAGCTATGGGAATTATTGCTTTGATAAATTTTTTTTTCTACTTTAGGAATATTAGTAGAAAGACTGACATACTAGAAATAATGCAGTATTTGACAATACAGTCTAACAAATAGTCTCAAAAGAATATGTGACAGCTGCAGATCCCTCTTCACTACAGAAAACACAGTTCACAATTACCTTTTTTCCCACTTCTCTAGCATTGGTACCATCAGATCCAGGAAAAATAACTATTATTACTCAGGCAAGTATAATCTCTTTGATCCCGAAGTAGGACTGGTATTTCCACCTAAAATCTACTACTTTCTCACAACAGGCAGCGGCAACAATCTACCAGAATTCCCGGAATCTTATAGCACAGGATCTTGGGTGTTCAGAAATGCCCCCACCACAATTCAGGCTCTGCAGCTAAGAAAAGACACTGCATCTGACATGTCCAGAATCATTGGTTTTTCTGATCACATACTTAGCACCAAGCTGTGTGAAGCCAGTCCTACCTATGTTGGTGGGATTGTAAATTCATTGGAGAAAAACACAGAAAAAATTTCATGTCCATGGATTGGGTAGGTACCAGGCTCTCTCTTTGGCTACTCATAGTGGGTTTCAGCTTTAAGGTAAGTGGAAGGCTCAGATATAAATAAAACTACTGTTACCAACTTTGGACTAAAATCAACTGAATACACAGAACTTCCATTTTACACTACTCTTATTAAACAACTAGCTCACACTCTTCAGTATCTCAGCATGTAAATCAAAATTTCATAGTCAAACCTCAGGCTATTTATGGATTTGTGAAACTCGAGTATAATTTTTTTTTAAAGTGGCATCATTAAGAAATATATCCTGTTTATCTGGCACGACTATCATTAACCATGAACTCATTCCCATACACAGCTATTCCATTCCATGAAGAGATCGGCTTTTTCATATTTTTAACTCTGCATGTTTAAGGAAGTTTTAGTCACATGTATTAGGATTTCTAAACACGCTGATTAAATTGCCTGTTCTTTTTGAGTATATCACATTAATTATCTATGGAAATAGTTTGCCTATTTACCCTTTCAGATCAGAAAACTATTGCAAAATGTGAAACATTTAATATTTTCAACAAGACTATTTACAGGTACCTTGTCGCCAAATACAACACGCTGTACTTTGAAAGTACTGTGATTTATAGCACGCTCCTTGTTGTTACCTGTTCTGTCATTTAGGTTACGATCCTGCTGACCTTTACATTCATGATTAGACAACTGCTTCAAAGAGTGTAGGAAATTAAGGATTACTGGTGCAATTGAGAACTTTTTTCATACAGACGAATTCAAAAGAATGCAGGCAAAATAGAGTTAATGAGGATGAAGGCCCTATTTTTCAGAGCCACTGAGCTTGTGTATGCATGTGCAGTTTTGGTTTTCTTCTTTTTTTTTTTTTTTTTGCTTTCTCCTGGTCAATACAGATTTACTGAACAGAACACCTATTTCAACTTCATGCTACTTCCCAGGAACAACTACTTTAACACTCCAGAACAAATCACTTCACTTAGCTAGGTAAGCTGTGGTCCTTGATCATTTTGTCAATGCTTAGTGTCTGTAGGAAAGCTTATGGAAAACAATCCTATAAAGTTCAGCCCTGAAACAAATGAGTAATTGCTTCTTATGAGAAAAGTTCCTCTGAGCAGGCATGACTTCATTGCAAGATTTAGTGATATAAAAAAGTTCAAAGTTTTTTGAAATATCATCAGCTCCTAACAAATATACTTACATTTGTCTTGGTCAGCTTCCACTCCTTCACTTTCTGTATCACTCGGCAACATCCAAGGCTGATGAGCAAGCTGAAGCTGTTGTAAGAATTCATCCTGCCATAAACAGATCTATTTTAGACAAAATGGCATAGAGTGGTACTGTGCAAATGCAGATTGTAGTACTTCAGTTTGAATTAACTGGATAGGAAAAAGACTTCAATTAAAACTAAACTAATACATATATACATATTCTTGCTGTGAAGTAAACTCAGAATGTAGAGGCTATTCAGGCTCCCCAGATACTTTTTGTAATGGAATTCTTGTTCATTTATTCCAGGGAAAAAAGAAGTCTACTTATTTAATTATCTACATAGCCAGAGATACATACACACTCATCTTAGAAATGCAGTGACACAAAACAAAATATTAACGAGGATATTCTGTTTATTCTTGTACCATTCTAGGACCATGCCTAGATACGTCATGAATGATTTGCTTAAGCAAGGCTTTGATTTGTCAGAACTTTCACTATCTTCAATCCTGTAAGAACAAGGATCTGCAACCTGATTTAGAACATATGGCTTTATTGGAGAAGTAGAAAGCCTAGGAAGGAATAATGCTACGGAAAATTTTGTCTCCCAGATACCATAAAGCTCTAAGCATCAAAATACAAATGTTACACACAGTTAAGAATCTGTACCTGCCTTTAAAATGTTTTGCCATCACCTCTTCTTTACAAAATATACGTATGTATATAAAAATATTTTTCCATATGTATATATTCATGTAAGCATGCACACTCACATGGAGTACGACAGATTCTTTTGCGATACTGAAGGCAAGAGATGAGACCGAAAAGCATAGTTTCATTTCAGCAGTGGTTCAGACATGTAAGTCGAGTCTCTGAAAGTTAACTCAAGGAGTGGCCAGATATCATAAAATTACTGGCCAGATTCTTACAGTCACTTAGAAGAAAAGGAAGCTACAAGCCCCATCTCATTTTCTACCAGTTGAAAACCAGAATATTCCAAGTTAAGTTACATTGTGCAGCATTGTAGCATTATTTTTATTGCTTAGCCATCTGGTTTAAAAATGTAAACTAGGTTTGTTTTACTCAGTTCTTGGAAGCCAGTCTCTCAGTTGGTGGAATAAAACTGTTAATTCTCTTAGTAATCTGTTAAAAAATTCCCAAAGGACTGCTGCAGTGACTGAAAAGGAAGCACAGGCAGCACACCCAGCCTTATGCATGTATTCAACTTTATAACTTTTTCACAATCTGAGAAGGTTGCTGACTGCAGCACTGAAATGGGAAAAAGCTTTGGTTCACAGGGCAGGATTATTGCAGCAGTAGCAAGTGGCTCTCACACTGGTCAGCATGCTTTTTAATCTTCCAAAACTACAGAGTGAAAAAGGGGGACAGGCAGCAGAAGAGAATGGAAGTACCTGACCAAGAAGAATCCTCGTGATATTGAGTGGTGTTCTGCACTCCTGTGATTAGGAAGAGGCCTTGTGTTAACCAATGCTGTATTCATATCAGCTGAAATCTCTAGTATTAACAATGATGGACCAATAAATATCACTGAACAGCACTTCAAGGTGCCTGGATGAATAAAAGTGACTAAAATTCCAAGTGCTGAGAAAATGTAATGGCAAACAAGGGAGTCAGTAATATTTTCATCTCAACGGCTATTGATAACTATCACAGCATTGTGTCACTTTAATGGAATCCATCCTGAAGAGATAAGCAGTATTCAGCATTCCTTTGTCAATTTATACAAAACACCAAAGGATACAGTCAGTGCATAAAAATATCTCTGCAAAAGGATTTGGAGCTGTGATTTATTAGTTTTATAGAGATAATAAAACTATTTCTCTAGGTAGCATTTCTTTGCCATAATTCAATTCAGCCTGAACAGAGCTGATAATAAAACACACCTGTTAAAACTCTGTAGTACTATGTGTGCCAAGAGGCAGAAACTTGTCCACAAAATCTCAGATCATTATAAGTTTTGAGCATTAAAATAAAATTCTTAACAGCTGATATGTTAAGTATTTGCCAGATTATTTAAGACGTGTGCTATAACAAGATTAAACCAGCATGGACTTTACTAAAACTTACTAAGAACTCTGAATTGTACTCTGAATATTTTTGTATTTTAGACTTATCATACTCTGAAACATATTACAAACTAGGAAGCATGTATAATGTATTTAGTGATATGTTAAACGTCCTCATAAATGGCATAGTGACAGCGTAAATTCATGCATACACATGTATACACTGTATTCTTTAATTCAAGTTCCAAATGATAAAATGTGCTGATGGTACTCAGTAGCTGCTTCCTTTTGAACTGACTTATTCTCATCACATATGTACCAGCTATGTACTGATTAATTCCATTAACACCAAACGTAAGAGTAAGGAAGCAGAATTCTTTGCAAAACATTATCCAAGTATCTCATACAGGGCTAGCAACGTAACCACAGTGCATTCACATCTAATGGAAATTCCCTGCTCACACAATTAAGTCTAAGAAGAATAAAGGCAACTTCCCTTATTTTATTTTACTGTTTTTATACAGGAAGAAGATACAAAACCTATAATGAAAGTTGCAAAATAATATACAGTATCAGCTTTTAGTTTTATACATTTGTAATTTGCACAAGTACAAAGAACTTCATTGTTCACATTCCTCAGGCTACCTTAGATTTTCCAAAATTTGACTCTATGCTTAAAGAGAAATCGCATGGGCAGAAATAGAGGGTCACCTCTAACATAGCAAAAGATATTATCGAACAGCAATACTTTCTGGGGATGTTCTGTCCTTATTCTCTTGTGTTTTTCTAAGCTAGCAGGACCTGGAATGGGCAAAGATGGCTTAAAAGAGCTCCCAAAGCTTCCAGCAGAACATCCCGACCATGAGGCTGGCAGCTACAGGTTGGCCAGATCTCCATCAACCAATTTTTGAGACCTGAGAGATCTCTAGCATGAACATGCCATACCAGCCATTTTCCCCTTGGAATCAGAGCTAGTCCCCACGCGAGCTTTGATGAAGTCAAAGGTCACTTGCATGTGTCAGGAAGGGACAAACAGGTTTTGGATCTGGGACACCAGCAGCTATTGTGCTATTGTGCCCAGTAACCAAAGAGAAAGAAAAGTTTGTCACTTCTATCAGGGATCATAACAGTGGATAAGATCTTGCACAGGAATGCTGATATTTGATAGCAGCTTTACAATATGCTGATATTTTGATATCAGTGGTCTTGCTGGATGAGACTGGACATGTTATTCCATCTGTAAAACGGGGTAATAGTACTGCTCTTTTCTTAAAGTACTTTAGACACACATGCACGCATCAAAAACAGATAACAAGACATTATTTTACTAGAAGATGTATCAGTAAAGTTTGGGATTTGGCAAACAGAAATAACAAATCACAGCAAATAGAAATAAGATTTTCAAGATTATCATTACTGTTACCAGCAAATACTGTGGAAATAAGAATTTCGAATTGTCTGCCTTGTTAGACGAAAGATCAGAAGGGATTTGAGAGCTGCTGTCCCTTGGCAGAGATGCAGTGCTCATTACATGACACTTCCAAGATCCATTACAACAACAACAGAAGTTGACATTACCTGACTATGTATCAGTGAAGACAGAAAAGATAAAAATAAAATAAAATTGAAGTTTTTTAGTGGGAAACAATGAAACCTTTCATTTCTTCTGAACATTCTTAGTTACAAAATGAACTTCAATTCTCATTTTCTGGTATATGAGAAAATTTGATCACACAAACACACTCATCCCTCCAAACAGGGGACGAAGAGTATTGTAAAATAAATAAATAAATAAATAGAATTATTACAATCACAGATTTTTTTTTCATGGAAAATTTCTAGCTTGAAAATCTATCAACTTTAGCCACTTTAATCCTTGTATTTTTAAGTTGGATTTCCAGTTCTGGGTGGAGAACTAGCTCAAGCAATGGGATTAGTGCACTGATATTTTTTTCCACCACTGAACATACAGATCCTTCTCATCAGTCTGGCATTTCCTGAGAAAAACTCATCTTAGTGAGACATGCATCTGAGATAGACAGCAGGGCTATTCTTTCACAGATTCTTTTATTTCCACTGCCTACACACTAAAGTCATCTTTAAGGCAGCTAAGGTTTGCAGAGGAGAATCCCACTCAAAATTTATAAGATACTTTAACTTCTCTTTTTATACAAGGACTAATCCTTTAAAAGCCATTAATATAAGACAGGAAGTTCTTATGCTCTGAATAAGTCTAGCTAACATGCACAATAGTACTAGACAGTCGTTCAGCAATATTGGATATTTTCCCACTGCAGTTCAGCTTTTTATTTCAGAAAATATGTCCATTCAGCAATAACTAACTAATCATCCCAGTGTATAAAAAAAGAAAACAAAAGAACAATTAGACCAAGGAAATATTATGCACTGTCAGTGCAGCAGGAAAAATACCCTGGAATCATAAAGATAAGATATAGTTGATTTTAATAGTCCGGAAATATGCAACTCAGAAACTGTAAGGCTAATAAATCTGCAGCGCATTATGCAGGCAAAACCCTACCAATCTCTGAAAATTTTGGGGCATGAGCGTTTCATTACAATTTCCACAATAATCCTGAAATTTTCTCATCAATCCTTCTCAAAGTTGAGTAGTCTTTCCTGCAACTTGTCTCAGTATTATGTTTCAAGTTCTTTTCAAAACACTAACATTAGGTATACTGACACCACTTCAATGTAAAACACGATCTTGTCTTCATGTAATAGCTCCTAACCATACTCAAAACATTAAATTGAAAATCTTACTTCTGACAAACTGCTTCTTTGAGCAGTGACAGTGACAACATCTCCACTCATTTGCACAGAGAGCCCTGAAGCAGCGCTGAGGGTCCTCCCCATTTGGCTCTTTGACGTCAAAGATCTACTTCTATGCAAACTGATGATGCTTTCCTTATTTCCTTGACTGCTAGGAGTGAGCGGCCGTGACAGCAAGCTGTTTGGGGTCACAGGTCTGCTCCCCGGCGTTGATGGAGTCGATGGCCTGTTGGTTTGCACGCCAGCTGTCGGAGGCCTGCTGTTTGTAACACCTGAGGCCTGTGCTCGGCTATTAGTGGGCAGTGGTGGCGATTTGTTTCCTTGGAGCTGAATGTTTTTTCCCATTTGAGTTGGCCTCGGATTTTGGCCCTGTGTAGCTTGAAGATTGCCTTGAGGATCAGATGTACCTAAACTGTGATGCTGGATGCTAGGGCTTCTTGAGAGCCTTGCTTCTTCCCACAGCGCTAGGTCCTTTTCAATATCTGAGCACACAAACACATAAACAAACAAAAACCTCACTTTCAGTTCTCTCAGGTTTAAGCTTCTTATTGATTTTCCTCGCTATACGTGACACCTTGTAGCTCTGCAGAGAAAATCTATTCATCCTTAAAATACAAGGCACCAGAATTAATGGTTTGATAATTATGTCCTTAGAATCTATTCACAGTTGATTTACTGCAAGCACATCTATCCCACAGAAATGCATTATTACCATTTAACTGAACCATCTAGCTATGAATTTCACTACAACCTATGAAAACCTCTCTCATTTAATCAAACCTCTCTGTGGCTTTTGCACCGTTTCTCATTAGCAACAAACTAAGATGAGGCTGTGAGCTAAATCTGCAATCCTCATCTGCACTGATGGGCAATCCAAAAGTGGAGCAAGATGAGACTTAATGTTTCTGACCTCCCTGTATATTGCCCAAACTGAACTCTGGGGTCAACAACTCCTGGCCTCTGGCACATCTGGGTCTGTAATGCTGCCTGGATCTGAATTTTGTGCTCTGGTTTGTCTTCAGTGCTACAGCAATTGAAGGGGTCACCAAGGTCTAGAATTTCAAGAAGAAAGGTGGTCATCATTTGGTGTTCCAGTTTCTATGCCCTTTAGGGCTGTATGAAATAAGACCCTATTTAAAAACAGAACAGTTTAGCGGTAGTGAGGTAACTGTCTTCTGAATTCATTTAATTCATCTTAATGATTCTGATGAATTAAATCAGATACATTCGGCCAAGTTAGATGAGGATTGCTGGAATTCAGGTTAGCATAGCTACTATACTGAAAGATCCTTGAAAGTAAAAATGTAAAGAAGCTTGACAGGCAGTTCAAGTTCATTTCATCTCACACAACTGTTCTGAATTTTTACTTTCTACTGTAACTTGGTTTTGATAAGTAATGATATTTTCCATTAAATTCTACAAACCAGAAGCCGCAAATCAGCAAGGTTCTACTGACTTAATCATGTATTAAGTGAACTTACATAAAATGAGCATTTTCATTTTTGTTTCTCTAATAATAACTTCAGACCCTTAAAGTTCTAAAACAAAAACACTCTAAACTGCTTATTAAAAAAATAAGATTTTCTTGCACTTGTATTTACCAGTAGCTATAAAAACAATGCTTTATGTAAAACAATTAAAGATATGCCACCTTTAACATTAATATCTTTTAAAACAGGAAAATAAGGTTTATGTTACTCCTCTAATACAAGACATTTCTCACATTTAAAATACTGTTATTAAAAAAAGTTGTCAAAATTGAGTCTTTCAACTCTTTAAAGATGCTAGCAAGTTTTTAAATGAGGTTATTCCCAGCACACAGTTCAGAGTATTTCTAATTGCCATCTTAATCTCACAATAATCTTACTAAAAATTAACCTCTTAAAATTATTTCCATTTTGAAATAATTATTTCTTGAAGTACTCTTCCATTATGCTTTAAAAAAAAAAATCAATACATATGAGTTTGGAATTTGTAAGATGCCTGACTGAAATCCAGGGGCCAATAAATGACAATGTGGGTTATGTGAACCAAATAAAGAATACTCTCCTTTAAAGACTCAATTTAGTTTGTGTCTTCGCAGAATTCCAGATCTCTAACTTCCCCAAGTTGATTCAGTATGCTAAGAAATTATTCGAAACTTTTAAGGATTTAATAACAGCTAACTAAACATTGTATTCTCGCTCACGTTTTCTTCATTTCATATAGTAGACAAGACTGTGTATTTAGCATACTTTTTTTTTTTTTTTTTTTTTTTTTTGCTTCAACATCAGCTTTTTAATCAGAAGGGAAAGAAAAATATCACAAATCTCCAGCCTTATGTTATTATCTGATACTCAGTAAATACCAGAATTCATTTATGGCAGGACTTTCTAAAATCCCTTGTCAATGTCATTTAAAGGAAATAAAAATGCAGGCATCAGAAAAACACAAAAGCATTTTACTTGCTTATCAGAAATGCCAGAATATCATTCATAATGCAACTACAAACTGTTTATGCACCTAGAAGTTCTACTTTTGATAAATCAGATTCCAGAAGTATGCAGTGACCACAGAATAAATATAACAAACCAAATGGGCAAGTCACTGCAATTAAATAAAAAATAAATAAATAAATAAATAAAAAATAAAAATAAAAATTCCACTTGTGTACAATATAAAGCAGCCACAGTAACGTAAGAGACTGGATTTTTGACAAAAGTATCACTGGACCACATGTAAGGAAGGAAAGGAAAACTGATTCAAAATCTGATTTTGTAAAAATGCTGTTTTCAAATAAGGCACTGAAGAACTTGCTGACATTTGGTGCTTATCATAGGCATCCACTTGTGCCAGTGTTTAAAGTGAATTTTCTACAGCATGTAGTCCATAACAGAAAGGCAGGACTATGCCTTATCATTACATGAGCCCAAGTCTCAGAAAACATCTAAATGACTGCATAGTACAGGATAGGATTAACAGGTTCCACTGTACTCAGTGAAAGAAAGATGATTTGCTGATATCTTTTTTTTTTTTTTTAATCTATCAGAAAAATAAGGCTAAGCAAAATACTGCTTCATTATCTGAGATCCTCTGAGCTGATTCCTCATGGAAGTTATGTTATGCTTGCAACTGAGAGGGATAATTGTCTCAAGCAGCACTGGTATAAGAGGAAGTTAACTGGTTAATTAATTAACAGGAATAGGAGAGTCCAATGTCTAATAACAGAGTCATACTCTTGTGAATTTCTCAGCCAAACAAAAATTACTGGATGGTAAAATGCCTGAGCTCCCCATACAGTGCTACTGAAGTAACAGGCCCACAGCCAAATGACACCAGCATTGATGTGAAAGACTTTGCACATCATACCACAGCAGACAGTGTCAGAGAATAAAAGAATCCACATAGTTAACCAATTAAGTATTTAAAATTCTGTCTTCCATTCAACATGGTAGTTATTATTGTCAACTATGTCTATGGATACAGGGATCTGCATGTTTCAGAGTACGCTGCTTACAAGGGCGACTTGTACAGCCATGGAAATGCTACCAGTTCAGACATAAATCAAAGTATTGACAACTTGACCAGATCCCTTGTAAGTGACACCTGCCACAACACACAGGGACCGTTTTTAGTTCTTGCTCTACTCTAAGCAAAAGCTTTTTCTGTTTCTCACTGTGCTCACAGCCGTCTTCTACTTGACTTTGTCTACAACAGCTCCTAGACAGAAGTAAAACAGCTGCATCTGTCTTTCTAAAGAAAATACCGCTCCCAAGCCTTCCAGGCCAACTTCACAGGTAGGACAGAGGTCCAAAATCTTTTCGAAAATGACCGAAAGTGCTAAGCTCTCTGCCTTGTTCTGTGACAGACTTGAAAGAAGGGCCAGAAAAATTTCATTTCTCTCTCCACCTTACCTTGCCAGTCTTTATATTCTAGTTCTACCAGTTCCATACCATACAACTAAACCTTAGATAATGAATATTCATTACAAAGAACAACTAACAAACACAAACAATAACTGTTTCTCTGCAATGAAGGAAATGTGAAGTTTTATCTATTTTCATCAGCATCTGAAATGGATTATAACTTTTCCTTAGTCTAAAATATATTGGCATAGATGTGTGAGGACTGCTATGTGTTTCATCGTCCCTTGCTAGCATACATACCAGCTAGGTGCTTTTCCATGGTCTGAAGTTCTTTTGCTGCTAAGGAGTCCTTTAAGAGTTTCTGTCTTGGGGAACCACCAGATCTGACACCCATGGCATCCATAGTCCAAACCGGCTGAGACTTAAACAGATAAAAAAAAAAAGGAATAGTTTTTAATACACTTTCAAATTTACATGTGAAACAATAAAAAATAAGTGGAGAGGGGGTAGTGATGCACTGTACTCATTTAGAATAGGGAATCTGGTAGAGTTTTGTATAGAATTAGTATATAATATTTAGCTGCAAAAAATTAAAATTTATAATTTCTTACATGTTAAATAACATAAACAGTAAGCATTAATAAAAATCAACAATTCTAGAGTAACTTACATGTATATTGACACACAAGCTCTTATTCCATACTGAGAAAACTTACTAGGACAAATTCTTCAATGATTTACATTCTAAGCAAGTTATTTAATGGGGGTTGCAGTTTAATTTGCCACATATGGCACAGTATCTCTGCAAAGCAGCACTTCTGGGAACATCACAGAATTTCATCATCAAAATTGCCAGTGCCATTTTGTCACAAAGTATTCCTTTCAGGAACAGCAACTAAATCATCATGGCAACACAGAAGCTTAGAAGGGATGCTGGGATGACTTACCCAATCATTTCAATACTGAACGCTGTGATACCCAGATAGCTGTATTTTCTGGAACCCATTCAATAAAATTTCAATTAAAAAAAAAAAATAATAATTTTTTTTAAAAGGTTTTAAAATATTTTTAAAATTTTTTAAATTTTATTTTTAAATTTTTTAAAGTTTTAAAATATGATACTATCAGGTAAATTCAATAAGTTTTTATATGCTTACTTAAAATACACTAGAAGTGTATGATAGAATGCTTAAGACTTGGTCATAAAAAACAACAAATACATTAATCAAAGCATTCTTAACAGCTTGTCTGAAATAAATTTTACTTTATTTCCCCACCAAAATATTTCATCTGAAGTATACGAGGTTTTGCTGCTTTCCCTGGTTTCCTGAAGAAACAAAGTTTATGCACAAGTCCCATCACTGTTTACCTCTTACTGATTTTTGAATCTTTCAGTAAACATCAAGCAAATCTAGAGAGGGGCCAGGGTTTCAAAGACATTGAGTTGATGTAATTGCAGGGAGAAGAATAATTGAGGAGAGGACATAAACACTGTCTTGTATTTAACTGACTGCTGTGAAACGTACCTTTAAAATTTGTTAACATAGATTCCTATGTATAAAACAACAGCTATACTGTAAAGTTCCATATTCTTACATTAAAAGAAACCCTTATTCATATTTACCAGAATATGAAATAGTTCACAGCTGCAGGCAATCCTACTGTTAGTAACACACAGTGTTTTTAGATCACAGTAGACATTTTGTAATTTGCCCATTGCTTTTTACTGTAGTACTGCTCTGGTTAGAGGCACATATATTTCATTCCAGGCAAATACACAGGAAGAGACAAACAAAATGTAAATTAGTCAGAAATGGAAATTATCCTGCAAATGCATTTATTTCAGACATGTCACTAGGCTTCATTCACCTATTTTCCCATGAGATTTTTGAGAATTTTCCACTTCATTCATATTTGAGAATTCTCCATCCAAATGATAATATGTCTTCTCAAGGTCACTAAAGAATATTCACCCTTATTAAACTACTCACATTTTTACATGCTTGTATCTAATAGATTTTAGTTACTCCGTATCTGTTTCTAGATAGAAGAGTAATTTGTTCTATGAGCAGTTTCTCTGACACAAAAGAAGCTAAATAAGAGATGGGAATGGGAGTAGAGCCTGTAAAAAATCCTAATGTTCTGGTTTCTAATCTGTTTTACACATACTCTTAACCTTCAGATTTTTATGGAGGAAACAGGCATTTTTATTTAAGTTTAATGGAGTACTCTTTATAAAGGGAGGAAAAATATAGCAGCCCTTCAACAATGACTAGAGAGAAAAATTCCCCAAGTCTAACAGGATGAATTCTTTTTGAGTATCACACACAAACATAACTCTGATGAAGTACAGAATAAAAGCTAGTCAGTTGTCTGTGGTAATAACTGAAGACCAAACTTTTCATCTGGTGTTCTCAGTTCTATTCAAGTTTATTGTAAACAAATTACTATGAGTTTTCACTAATTTTCTAGCTTCCAAAAACAAGCACTTGCAAATGTTAGCCTTCTGAGACTTTCTCAGCCTCCATCTCCTTTTTTTTCTGAAGATAAAATAATCTTTCTCTTCTACAAACCTCTAGTGTTTCTTCTTACATTCTACCTTTTCCTGTGTGATACTTTTTTTATATGCATACAACTAAGGTGAATGAGTGAATGCAACTCAGCCTACTATCTGTAAGAGAAACTCAAATAAACAGAGAAAAATGATTCTTTAATGTGAGCACCATGACAGTGCTTGAGATGTTTATTCAAAAATATGAGTAACATTTAAATGTAAATTGCAATTAGAAGGCTCAAAATCACAAAGATTATGAAACATCAGCAATACTTTTGCAGGCTTCAACTCAGATTATTAACCTTGTGTAGATTCACATAAAAACACAGATAGGAATGGCTGTGCATAAGCACATACAGGCACACCAAGTTGTGTACACACATGCACTCTGTAAATGCTTATGGCTGCCTTCATCCTGTTAACATACAGTTACGAAGAATACAGAATTTGTGTTCAGTTCTGTGCACAACACAGATGTACACAGTCTTTTGGAGAGTAAGTTAATGTTGGATATGATTTTAAAGCAATACATTCACATCTATCTTCCAGATGCACCATTTCAACACTGTGAAATTAGTGAGACAACTTTGGACAACTTTTTTCCAAAAATTTTGTAACATTTTATTTGCATTTTTCAGTACCATGTACTATCAGAAGCCTTTGGCATTTTGTGTGACAACAGCACTGTGAAGAGACCAGAATAATAGTTCAATAATAGCCATGAAAGATGAGATATTTAATAGCAGCCATTTAATTACAGATTATGTGCTTATAATACTCTTACAATTAAACACTTGATAGAAAGAAAAAATGATCTGAAACTATTAGAATAAAAAAGTTATCTGTTTATTATGATATTAAAACTGCTGTATTGCTATTATTTTTTTGCTCCTTCACTGAAACTAGATGTTCCAAGACCATAAGCAACAACACTGTCCTGAGTGCAAGAGTGATATGACCTGTAGAGGCATGTCCAGAAGAGGACCACAAAAATGATCCAAGGGATGGAACACCTCCCCCTACAAGGACAGGATGAAAGAACTACAGCTGTTCAACCTAGAGAAGAGAAGGTTCTCAGAGCAGACCTGAGAATAGCCTTTCAGTATCTAAAGAGGGGCTATAAGAGAGAAGGGGACAGACTCTTTAGCAGGGTCTGTTGCGACAGGACAAGGGGACATGGTTCTGAACTAAAAGAAGGGAGATTTAGATTGGATATAAGGAAGAAGTTATTTACAATAAAGGTGGTGAGGCACTGGAACAGGTTGCCCGGAGAGGTGATGGATGACCTGTGCTAGGAGACACTCAAGGTCAGGCTGCACAGGACTCTGAAAAACCTGATGTAGCTGTAGGTGTCCCTGTTCATTGCAGGGGAGTTGGACTACATGACCTTTATTAGTCTCTTCCAACTCAAACAATTCTATGATTTCAATCTTTCTGAAGGCAGACTCAGGAAATGGTTTTTGTTTTTTTTTTCCCCTCTGTAAATAATACTGAACATAAAAATTCTCTCTTAACATGTTAAAGCTATGAATTCATTTAAGTGAATAACATATAAATAAAGAAAGGGTTCCTTAGCGTATTCAACAACATATGCAATAATCTTGATCTTAAAGGATAAATACAAGCTGAAAGTAGGGGATGTTAACAGGCATTCTTTGGAAGCACATCAGTTCAAACGCTTTAGCAAGGAAAAATGAATTCACACATCACCAGCAGAATTCACTGGTATCCCTTCTCTCCACTAGATTAGTGGCAGCAGTTCAGAAATGTCACCTAGGAGAGAGATTCAGGCTTGCAAGTTGTTAATTTGAACACTTCTATTCCATTTTTATCAAAACGTAATCTTTATCTCCTGGCCAGGTACAGCAGAGATAAAACACTAATGTCAGTTATCTCAGATGTTATTGATAACGACAGTAGACTGAAAGCAGTTGAAAAATTTAGTATGTATGTATAAAGTGCGTATACAGAAATAGTCCTTTATAATTCCTTCAGCGTATTCCAAACTGCAATTGCCCTCAATTATTCACTAAGATTTTTTAATATTAACACAAAAATTATAAATAGCCTATTCATACTAACAAGATTTTATATCTAAACGGGAAGATGTTCCTGAAAGACACCCTTGCCTTTTTAGTTTGTAGGAACAGCTCTGGGTGCTGTTCACTTCACCTTCAAACTTTGAAGGTAAGGCAAAGTCTCTGCGCTAGAAATACATTCAAACAAAGCCCTCAGGATACATTTGTCAACTGTAAAGGTCAACCAGGCATCCATTTCCTAATTGGTTTTCTTTACATAGCATCATTATTTCTTCACTAACAATATATTCATCAGCACATTCTTTACTTAGATCGCTTAGCCAAATTACTCCTAAAAAGAAAATAATTACAAAAGATAAAGCCAAAGGGAATGTCTGCCATCTCTCGTTCCCTGAACTTCTGGAAAATATCATAACTTACTGGGAAAGCCATGCTAGTACACAAACATAATTGAGGTCATAAGAATAAGGAAGTTTTCCACGATCAAATATAAGTACTTCAGTATTTGCAGCACAAATGTGAACATCTGCAGTGACATGGGCTGCCATTTCTGTGTAATCCCCCATGGACACACAGGGAGTTCTGCAGAAATGCAGCATTTCAAATTGTCTGAGGCAAAGAAGACCTCCAAATTACCTCCAACACCATCAGGAAATCAAATGATTGTTAGAAAGTAAATTAGCCCTTCCTACTGACCATCAAAAGTTTGGAATGATGGAATGCTATTCTTCTGTTTCATTTTGGCCTACTTCAGAGTTAAACATATAAGTACCCATAGGCACAACTATGCACATTCTCTTGTCAGACATAGGGGATATCCCTACCTCA